TATAATTTCCATGCCCAACGCAAGCAGAAAGATGTTGTCTGCCGCGGCTGGGTCTCCAACCCGCGACCTTCGAATTACTAGATCGACGCTCTACCTACTGAGCTACACGGTCAGACGGATTTAAGACTGGAAATTATGAAATATATACTGAATGTCATAAACATACTCGTTTATATTAATTCAGCATCGAACAATACTAGTTCTGCAAGTGTTATGTTAATTGTGTTATTGTACACTCCCTAATATGTTAAGATGAAAATGTTCTAGAGTGTGTATTATATTATTTCCATACCCAGCGCAAGCAGAAAGATGTTGTCTGCCGCGGCTGGATATATATATATATATATATATATATATATATATATATATATATATATATATATATATATATATATATATATATATATATATATATATATATATATATATATGTTAGTTGTGTAATTGTACACTGTAATATGTTAAGATGAAAATGTTCTAGAGTCAGCCGCGGCAGACAACATCTTTCTGCTTGCGCTGGGTATGGAAATTATATAATACACACTCTAGAACATTTTCATCTTAATATATATATATATATATATATATATATATATATATATATATATATATATATATATATATATATATATATATATATATATACTGTTAGGGCGATCAGTGGATAACATGATATTTTTGTAAAAGTTTGTAACTGATCTATTAAAATGTTATGCAAAGGGTGTTATGTAAAGGTAGTTATGCAAAGGGTGGAAAAAATTGCTTTGAGAACATCCCCAGTGCCGATACGATGGTGGAAAAGATATGTTGATGACTCAAACGCGTGTTTAAAACAAAACGATATAATAGCTTTTCATGATCATTTAAATTCTATAAATCCTTGTATTCAGTTTACCATTGAAACACCGGTAGTAACTGGAGACATGCAAACAATCGCTTTCCTGGATACAGAGATTTGTAAAATTTCTACAGATATTTCGATTAAAGTTTTCCGTAAGAGCACACACACCGACAAATATCTAGATTTTGGCTCACATAGCCCTGTAAGAGACAAGATCGCAGTTGTAAAATGATTATTAGACCGAGGGAGAGTTATTCCATCAAACCAAGTTTTACAGAAGGAGGAAACGGATAGAGTAGCAGAAGTGTTAGAGTTAAATGGATACAAGAAAGCGTTTATTGATAATGTTAGAAATACAAACAAAACACAACAAAATTCTTCTGAATTTGAGATTCGTGGCTCGACGTGCATTCCGTATGTGAAAGGTGCGTCGGAAAAAGTCAAAAGCATCTTAACTCGAGCAGGCGTTCGGACAGCATTCAAGCCGATAGTCACGTTAGAGAATGTATTCAAAAAACCAAAAGAAAGAGCACAGGAAATGCGAACAAAAGCTATTGTGTACAAATTCAAATGCGAGTCGTGCTCATTCACTTATGTCGGGGAGTCAAAAAGATGTTGGTGTTCCCGATGGCTTGAACACAAACCAGGCGTAAGAAAAAAGACTTTTTCAGCTATAAAAGAACATGCTGAACAGACAGGTCACGAAGTCGCTAAAACTGACGTAACTATTTTGGAAAAAGGCATTAAAAACTATGACAAAAGAAGGTTTCTTGAAGCGTTACATTCTGTACTAGACAAAAATGCAGTCAATGAACACATAGAATTTCCGGTTTCGTATTTACAATTGTTAGAATCAAGTGAGTGTAACGGGATAAGGCATAAAAGGACTTGAACTAATCGAACACGGCCAAAATACTCTGAAGAAGGCTGCAGTTGGCAGCCGAAAATTTAGTATCTTTTTATTGAAGATTTTTAATAGATCAGTTACAAACTTTTACAAAAACATCATGTTATCCACTGATCGCCCTAACAGTATATATATATATATATATATATATATATATATATATATATATATATATATATATATATATATATATTGCGTAGATTTTTAAAGATTACTCAATATTCACGTCTGAAATGTTATACATTTGAAAAGAACACTGTGTCGCTCGGACTCGCTCTTTCCTGATATCGCATGCTCATTTGCGCTGCTAAAGAAAAAAATGGGGTATTCCCGGGGAAATATCTCTTTAACAACATGAAAAGAAAATACTTTAAAATTTATAAAAAATTACAATAACGACAACGATTCCCTCGAAATTTTTGTAAAATTGGCAAAAGGGAAAAATAAAATTTAAATAAGACAACTAAAATTGCCCAAGTAACCTTCAAAACACTGACTAAGTACAATAAATCACTATAACATAAATCGTACAGCCCCCCTGACTGTCTGCTGCTTGACTGACTGATTCGTTTGAATTTTCGCCACTCATAACAATACTGTAAAGTTTTGAAGAAACTTTACACTAAAAAGGATAATCAGCACGGTCACCCACGCCCGCGATTATTGATAAACTTTAGGCGTAGCTCTCTTCGTTAATGCTTTTGTTTTTCCGGGTAAAAATAGCCAGGCGAAATTAGTTCCCTCGCCTCGGAACGGCGCTCTGCTCAGTTGGTTCGGGGACAAACAGTCAAACGCCGAGTAATGCTTGTCTTGTTTTAATGCTGTTTCTCAGCAAGCCCGCTTCATGATACGGCTAATCAAGTTACAAAAAAAAATTTAAACAATTTTTGTCCTTAATGAACAGCCCTACGGCGTAACGTCAAAAACGTGTAAAACATCACTTTGCTGCCTGGATAGCGTAGAAAGCAGTGGAACTTTCAAAATAAAAATATGACAGTTAAATATTCCGACCACTTTGATCTACTGGGGCCGGTTGTATAAAAAAGTGATTAAAGTTAACTATGGTTAAGTGCAAACGTCATCCAATAAGAAGCGCATATTTGAGAGTTAAGTACAAAATAGTGATTAAAAAAGTGATTAAGAGTTTTATATAACCGGCGCCAGGTATGCTACCAGTAGATAAAAAATTCACTTTGATCTACTGGTATGCTACAAGCATTAGGGGCTTTTTACATTGAGCTCGTGAAAATAACTTTCGAGTGGAAATATTCTCATTTATAGTAAGAATTAATGTCCAGTGTGAGAATAAAATATGTAAATATTTTTTGCGGCAATATTGTTTTCAATTAGTGAGGATACTTCACTGGTCTGATAGGGAACCAAACATTTTCTGAAAAGATTTTACACAACACGTCTTTTTCTATTTCAGATTTGTCTCTGGATCAATTAAGAGATATCAGGGGACTGCAAATCGTGCCATTTGCTGCCAAACATGTCAAAAAATGGAACCCTGCAAATTCAGTTTTTATTAACACAACAAATCATATGTTTATGGAAAATTATAGACTGCGTAATCCGATAACATTGGAAGACCTTGCTGGAACAGATCGGCAACGTGGCTTTCGTCTTCGGGATTTAATAGAAGCGTAAGTGTGAGTTAAACATAAATTTTGAGGTTGTCAATTAAAAGCAATGAACATTTTTGCCAAAAATGTACTTCGTGTTTGAAAATATTATAACTATATAAATGTTTTAAAATGAGTAATTTGGATGTTATGGTTAATTAAAGCAGTCATTGCCGATTTAAACCTTACTGTGATTTCACTCATATTCATATAATGAATCAATTGGTTCCTTCCTCGCCACGATTTAATAATTATTCTCGCACCATAGTGTCGCGGACGTTATTTTTATATTTCACTCAAAATTAATTAAGAAATAACGATAAAAATGCATGGTTTGAAACACGTCCAATAAGAATCAGATAAAAAAATAATTCCCCAAGAATTCTTTTAATGCGTGCAGGAGTCCAAAATACTTTTCAAATCATAGTATATCTATTCGTTCATAAAATTGCCACCATCATGAGGAATTTGAGCCTGAGATACCATGCTGTGGAACTAATTCTTTTAGCAGTAAATTGCATGTAAGTATAGTTAAGTAACAAGAATCATATAAATTAATGACAGATTTTCAATATTATTATCATGATATTCAATTTGATAGAACAGAAAATTATAGTCAAAAACTATCCGAAGTTTGTGACGGACGCATTTTCCAATTACCGAGTTATCAGAAAAGTTATAGCAGAAAACACAGACAAAACGATCTGCATGAATAACGGGCAATAAATAGTCTGTGTCTTTTGACCCAATATCGTTCACTTTTATTTAGCATGTCTTAGACCAGAAATATTCATACGGGAACTTTCAGGCACGCCGAGTTCAAATCCGAAAAGTTCCCCCGCTCCATAGACCCGCAACTTCTCACAGAATGCAAATTTTTCATTGTCCAACGACACGGATCGATAACGACACACAATTATTGTCACTCAAAACATAAAATAAAGATCCATATAGAAGGGCCACTTACGTCGGAAGCTTTGAAGTTTCTGTCCTTGCGAATGTCGCATTACGCATATGTTGGCCGCCATTTTGCTAGCCAGTCAATGACATTTTCTGGCCAATAAACACACTGTACTGGCTGGCTGCTACGCCTTCTGGCCAGTAAACTGCATATTTTTGCACAAAAAGACGCGGACCCTTCTGTTACTGATCTTTATTCTGTGACTCATAGAGACCAATTTCTATCAACCAGTCTTCCTTTCAACAAAAGACCGGTTTGTTCAAATCATTTTGAATGATGCACTAATCTTATACGTGTTGGACGTAAACAACATATATCTTTTCTACAACTTTGAGAAAGTACAGATAACCTTTCCTAAAATCATGACTTTTAGAGATTCTCTATATAAAATCACAAAATTAAAACATCAATAGGAAGTCTTTAGATTATGTCACTTGCTTAAAAAATAACTTTTTAACGCGATCAAGGTATTTAAAACAGAAGTAACGCGAAGCCAAAGTAATGGCAAAGACAACGATAAAATAAAATATTGTCGATTGGTTGCTGGTAGAAGACTTGTGACAGGATCAAACTTAATAACCTTAAACTATAAGAACTCTGTTCACATCAAAGACAAAGATCAGTCCTAAAGTATAAAATATGCTCTGTGAACTTTCGACTAAATGGGTAAATGTGTACATAATCGAGTATATTTGGCGATTTCAACGTATATCGAAGCTTGCAATAATATTCGCATAAGCATAACACCAACGGAAGTAGGCTAATTGTTCAAATGCAATGATAAGTTATCTCTTGAACTAGCTACGTCTCCGAAACTGTGTTACAAATGTAAATGCTAATCCATTACATAACATAATATTAACCGTTTTACAACTTTAAATAAAACATTTTGACCATTGGGTTTGCATGACCATGCAAACAAGTGCTCCTCAAATTCAGACTTAATTCCACAACCACACAACATTCCGTTGTGATTTGGCCCATTCATGGATGTCGATGTTTTGCATCGCTTCACGCACTTGGTCTAAATCCTCGCGGTTATGGATCTGGAACGGGGAGTCGAAGACACGGCTGTTGTTTGCCGAGGGGTGGTGATATTGCATTTGTTATGTCTCATTATTAAACAATACGAAACCAAAGGACAGATTCAATTTAAAAACGGTGGTCTGGTCTTGGAATATGTGCTGTATACTGTTGACAAGTTGACCCATATTTACTGAGCTTGGACGATAGTTGTACCAATCCTGAATCCGATTGCCTCGGCTTTGTCGCGTCCGTATAGCACGCCAATGATCTCGGTGGAGATTGGAAGGAAGGTTAGATGGGGGTAATAGGGGATCTCGAGGGAACGTTTGGGGTCCTATAGAAATTATAACACCCGATTCTTTATTTTTGTCTAGACCTCCGCACTAATTTTGACATACAAACACCCAATTCATAAAAAATCGACATAAGTCTAACATGAATAAATTAGGAACATGCAAATTTCACATATACTATTTACGGATTAAAAAATTGAATTTCATACCCTCGTTGACGACAGTAGAAGTTCCTGAAAAGGAGAAAAAATGTATTAGTGTGATTTTAACTTAAATTATTACACAGCACATACTCTCTTACCTTCGTTAACGCGTGTCGAAGATGATGGCGGTTCTTAAAAGAAAAAATATATGTGTATAAATACAAAATTAGTAATCAAAATATTTTTATTTATACATACCTGGTTCATCAGTTCTTTGCCTTTTTGTTCTCCCGGTCGGCGTCTTCGTACGTTTCCCACGGCCAACTTGATGGACTTCGCGTTGATGGGCTCGGAATGGAAATATATTTCGAAATACTTCACCACATACATTACAAGTATATTCCCGTTCCGCGCCACCGCGCTCGTGCATTTTCATGTGGCGGCTCAAATCATCCTTGAAATAATATAAGTAGATATTATTAGCTTAAAATACTTTACTATGTTCCGAAATATATCCCTGTAAATTACGTACCTTTCGATTAAACGTTTTATGGCAACGCGAACACTTATTGTCTTTGTCACTGTGAGTTTTCATATGTCGGTTCAAAACATCCTTGAAATAATATAAATAGATATTATTAACTCGAAATACCTTACTACGATTTGAAATATATCCCTGTAAATTACGCACCTTTCGATTAAACTTTTTGTGGCAACGCGAACACTCGTGGTCTTTGTCACTGTGAGTCTTCATATGTCTGTTCAAAGCATCCTTGAAATCATATAAATAGATATTATTAACTCAAAATACTTTTCTATGTTTTGAGATATATCCCTGTAAATTACGTACCTTCCGATTAAACGTTTTATGACAACGCGAGCACTTATGTTTTTGTCACTGTGAGTTTTCATATGCCGGTTGAGGTTGTCCGAACGCGTAAATACGCGACCACAATCATTACAACATAACCCCGACTTCTCCGATTCTTCTTGCCAGTCATCTCATTCAGACAGAATTTGCTCTTGCGTCTCTGGCGACCAGGACTCGAACATTTCATCTGTAGCAACGGCGCAAAGCTGGCGATTGAGTTCGTCATTCTCGAGATCGGACATGAATTGATTTCTCCTGAAAATATAGAAATGAATTACATAAACAAAACTCTCGATATTATATTAATTTTCAGTTTAAATCAAATTTACAAAATATTCTCTCGATGTTGTTGTGCCATTTTCTTCCAAGTAATTTTCTTCACGAAGAATTTCACCAAACTTCAACTAAGCATTGTCAAATGCAAAACTATGCTTGTTACAAGACGCTTGTCGATTTTATACAGACGCTCGTTAAATCAAACAACCAATCATAGTAAGCCAACATTAATCCCTCCATTGTACCACACACCTGGGGGGACGCTAAAAAATGCGTAGTCAACAAGTTTCACACGTCCTTGTTTAAACCTGCCCGCGTGATGTCATTGCATATAATTATGACGTATGTTAATGAGTGACGTCATTACTCTTCCTCACTCCTCCTCCTCACTTTACCACCGCCGCAAAAATAAGGGTCGAACGGTACCTATATTACTACTCGCATGACTACCGCTGACCAGTAATTCCTTGGATGCAGTTGGCCAAACGAGTGGATTAGTGGAAATTAGTTCCCTTAAAGCCTGATTCCACGAGCGCTTTTTGTCGAGGAAATGCGAAATATTTCACCTGTTTCTTTTGAATTGCGACCATTCGAATAAATTATTTCTACTTGATCGCACACAATTCAAAAGAAACAGGCGAAATATTTCGCACTTCGCCGACAAAAAGCGCTCGTGGAATCAGGCCTTTAGAGTTCACTGGTGGAAATAGAATGATTGTAACGTAATTTTTGAGAAAAACTTTAATAATGTTGTTGAAACATTTATTGGCCGTAAATAAAATTCAACAATTCACTAATTCATTCAACAATCCTAAATGAAATAGTCCTTTAAAACAACGTTGCTGCTCTATTCTCAACAGAATTTGTTTATAAGTTAGTTTATGTTGTATCTTATACTGCGTGGGGATTTGACAATTCGTTATGTCCCCATGGAGGGGGGATATTTCAATATTTGCCTTTATTTTGTTGCCCTATATGGGGCGCATTAGGTCAAAATTTTCTTCAAAAATTCCATTCTCCACCCCTATCCCGGCCTTCCCCCTGGGGGATTGAAAGGTGTATTATAGAAAGATTCTCTGACTCTATACATATTGTTTGAGTTTGAATCTTGTGTTCTAGTTTAACTTATGTGCCTTTATGAGTTTATGATCATTTCCCAAGTTTGTTTATGCCAAATTGCTTACAAAAGAATTAAAAACTCTTTGCAAAATGCAGTTGAATTTTAAATTAAAGAAAGCGATTTTGCCATGTATATAATACATATATAATCACACGGGCAAGTCGTGCAATTAATGATGTTGCACTACTAGTGATTTTTGAAAAATGTGCCAAATTGCACTCGCCTCTACGCGGCTCGTGATATTTTGGCACATTTTTCAAAAATGACTGGTAGATTAGGCTAGTATTAATCATTAATTGCCCGACTTGCCCGTGTAATTACCTATATACTAAATAAAATACAAAGATATATATTAGTAAGTTTTGGAAATTCTTTCCCCAATATGAATTCCCATTTGTCATTGTTTCGGTTTTAAAATTGTGTTATCGTTTACATTTTAGATCAGCGAAGAACGGGTAAATTGACATGATTAAAGTTATGTGCAGATAATGGACGCAAAATAGTCTCAAAAACCTTTTGAGGAAATATTTTATGCGTATTAGACAAATTTGAAATCGTTGCTACTCAATGCATAACATTAGAGAGGGTGAGGTAGATAGTTTTATCATAGATGGTTTTATTCGATAACCAAACTTTTAAGGGCACCTGTCTTTTTTTTAATCGGCAATTCCAGCTTTTAGTTTATGCGTGCAGAGGGTGATCGATAGGAAGTAAAGTATCACATTGCTAATTATGTTGAGAAAATAAAAATGGCGGCCCTGTAAGCACGGAGTGAGAGCTTATACTTGTAAATATTGAAATATTTCGGTTGTTTCGGCAGCTTTTATCGAAATTTTTCAGCATATTCAGTAATATGATACCTTACTTCGCATCACCCGCTAATAAATGAATGAATTTATTAGCGATTCCCAGCAACCTGTCGCGCTCGTATTCGACTTTTCCGCTTTTCTCGGGGGACAACCTTATTTGAAATAGCTGTATAGACTGAAATGATAAGGTCTACAGTTTAAGCAGAAGATTTTTTATAAGAATTTACAAAAATTATTTGCAATTTACAATAAAACTGATTATATAGGGACAATTATTATAGTTGTAATATTTATAAAAAGAGTTTTAAACGGTCATTACATTTAAGGACAGTAAATTTTCTAATGTTTCTTATGGGTAAATCTCTGTTCCTATTATGTGGTAAGTATTTAAAAAGTTTATCTTCTGTATTGACGGAAATCTTTTGCAGAAAATCATCGCAAAGTTTGTCCCAATAAACTGACAATTTTTGCAGATTCGATAGATTCAGGGCGACATCTTACGCACACACACGTCTATTTCTGATTTACTGATCTGTCATGAATTTTCACTAGCCGCATATAGCCAAGCTAATCGAGGGGGGTAGTGATATAATGTAATTAAAGAAGGGGGAGGATAATAGCAATAACTGAATTACAAGATAAATAATTTAATAAATCAAATAATTGCAGGTTTACAAAGTTACAGCAGAATTGTTGAAGCCAATTAATTTGCTTGTGTAAAATTAATCGGTAATATTGAAATCTCGCTAATGTGCTAAATATAGGGATAAAATTGAGTATATGATTATATAACCACAAAAATTGAGATTATGCAATCAATTCTAAGATAGTTTAGTTTCAACAGGCAATCTGTTTATGATTAAAGGGCAAATCAATATGGTCATTTTCCTTCTCTAGTATTGTCATAAGTGTCTTGTTTAATTCGATTTGGAAGGTATGTTTCCTTCGCGCACGGAAACTTGGAGAAATACTATTCCAGATAAATAAAACCAAATCGAGAAAATGAGCGTTTTTGGTTTTCTAATGGTGAAGATTTGGTGTAAAAATTATTGTTCGCGCCGGCTCTCGTATTCAGTGGCGTAACTTTATATCAGGGGACCCCGGTTCAAAATTTTCGAAGGTCCCCTAGTAGAAGTGCCAAAGGCACGAGTCGAGCGCCGTATATGCACGAATTTTCTAGGGGGTCCAGGGCATGGTCATCCGGAAAATTTTTGAATTTAGACTCTCTGAAATGCCATTTCCTGGACTTTGGGGAGAGATTTTACAGAATTCTGATGGCCATAAAACGACATTGTAACATATCAGAGGCCCTGACCAATGTTTTTGCTCTATCGCCTAAGCCTGGGGGCCCCCATTTAGGTTGGGGCCCCCGGGTTCTCACGGTCTGAGCCCATAGTAGTTACGCCACTGCTCGTATTATATCTATGAATCTTGCATATTTTGGTAAAAAATTCTTGAAGAGCGATTGGTGCAACTTCATTTAGAAATATCATGTAACAAGCTGGTGGATTCTCTAATGTATATATAGCATGTTGATAAAGAAAGTGTGCAAGGAGATAAATAGAGGGATAGAACTTTCACGATTGTCTTTAAAACAGATAAATCTCAGCACACGTTTCTGCAGTTTGAGAAGTTTATCCGTATATTTTTTGGCGGCATATCCCCATGCAACAACTCCATATGAAAGATATAACTAAATTAATGACCTATATATGTTCATTAAAATATAAAATGGGACATAACGTCGGAGTTTTGCAACGGTTCTAACAGTCTTGCTAATCTTTAGCGCTATATAATTAAAACGTTGTTTCCAAGATCAATTACAATCAATGAGAATGCCAAGATACATGTATTTCTAACATATAATCCTTGCTTTCGAGAGCTATGTATTTTTTCGAATTATTGTCAAAAAGTTTAATAGTAGGCTGATAGATCGTTAATTTTGCAATGGTCGACAGATTATAAAAAAACGATTTTTTGACATGTGATGTTAGTTTATTAACATTTAGCCACTTACAAATTTATTTATCGGCAAGATATAAGTCAATCTGTCAATTTTTGAGAAGAGAACAAAACTATACACTGTACTACGATTTTTTCAGTTTCCTGTTTTCGTGGTTTGTTCCCAAGATATTCCAATTCGTTTGATATGTAAATGAGTGTGAATATGTCCACTAATTTATGACGTCACATTAGTTGCAAGCTCTTCAAAAAGGTTGAATATCACTGCCTGCCTCGTATCCAAGCGCTTTGGTTTGTTTGCGTTATTAAGCGCACGTGGGACGGCACGCGAGGTAAAAGGGAGAAAAACGGTAAATTCGCCGGGAAACGCCTGGTAGAATTCGCATTCAAAATGGCGGGTCAGTGTTCTGCAAGTGTTCTGTATTATTTATATTATTATTGAAATGAATTGTTTAAAGCAAAATACGGGTTCGTACATTGCCAGTACTATATTTGGAGTGCAATATTTAACTTAAATTATTAATTGTTTGCCTTGTTCATACTGTTTTAATATTAACTATCAGGGGCGTAGGAACGGGGGGGGCATGGGGGTAATGGCCCCCAAGTTTTAAAAATTGCCCTTTTTTCGGCATGACAAAGTGCCCTTTGTGTTCGTGAAAAATGTTGTTCAGATTCCATTTTTGCCTCAATGGCCTTTGATTAATGCCAACATTTTC